CCCGCCGGCCGTGCCCCACGCCCCCAGCCGCTCCGCGGTACGTGGGAGCCTCCCGGACCGGGGCACGAACCCTCGTCCCCTCCATCGGCAGGCGGACTCTCAACCACTGCTCCACCAGGGAAGCCCCTGAAGGGACTTTTTATATGTGAAATATTAAGGATCTTGAGGAGGGGAGAAATTCCTCAATTATCTTCATGGGCTCAAAATAATCAAAAGGGCCTTTATGAGAAGGAGGCAAAGAGGCCAGAGTCACAGATGTGAGAAAATGCTACCCTGCTGGCTTTGAAGACAGACAGACATGAGCCAAGGAATCGCAGGTGGTCTTTAGAAGCTGGAAAAGATGAGGAACAGATTCTCCCCTAGAGCTTCCAGAAGAAACGCAGTGCTACTCACAGTTTGATTTTAACCCATAAGACCTATTCTTACTTCTGACCCCCAGAACTGTAGATAATAAATTTGTGTCTTTTTAAGCTAGTAAGTTTGTGGTCATTTGTCATAGAGTAAATATAAAGCTAATGCATACCATAAATGAATTTTTTTTGTTTTAGAAGAAACTCCCAAACTATTTTCCAGAGTGAACGAGGGTGGGGAATTGTAGTATATGTGACCAGTATAGGCAGGGACAGATAACTAAGACCCTCATAGGATAGGATAAGGAGTTTCAATTTATCCATTGTGGAATAGAAAACCACCAGAAGATTTCAAAGAAGAGAGGGGAAAAATATAATTTATGTTTGGGACTTCCCTGGTGGTCCACTGGTTAAGACTCCACACGTCCAATGCAGGGGGCATGGGTTCGATCCCTGGTTGGGGAACTAAGATCCCACATGCCTCATGGCATGGCCAAAAAAGGAGCGACCAAATATGATTTATGTTTGAAAGTGATCACTCTCATTGCTATAAGGAGGGTGGTTTGGAGTGAGGCAAGAATAGAAGAGGGAACACCAGTCAAGAGATTATTACATCAACTAGGTTGGTTGTCGTGGAGTTGGAGGGAAAATGACAGATTTAGGATTTGTGTGTGGGATATAGTCAACAGAATTGCTGCTGGACTGGCTATGGATGTGAAGGAAAGAGATCATTTTTGCTTGAAAATTAGGGGATAGTTGTGTCTTTAATTTTGGATAATTATTATTTGGAGTATGTGGTGCTGAGAGGGCAGAGATATAAAGTAAGACACTAAATTTATGAATTTGAGTAGAGAAGTTATTAATTGACAGAAGTTGGTTCTGGAGACAAATTTGAGAGTGATTAATTAGTGGTTCAACTTATAAACTTGGATGGGATTAACCTGGAAGAGTTTAGATAAGAGAAAGGGGAATCAAGACACTTCAATTTATAGGTACAGTAATGTATGAAGAGCTTTAAAAACAAACAACCTGGAACTTCTCTGGTGGTGCAGTGGTTAGGAATCTGCCTGCTAATGCAGGGGATGCAGGTTTGAGCCCTGGTCCAGAAGATCCCACGTGCCACAGAGCAACTAAGCCCAAGCGCCACAACTACTGAGCCTGCACTCTAGAGCCCGTGAGCCACAACTACTGAAGCCAGCGTGCTTAGAGCCCATGCTCTGCAAAAAGATAAGCAACCGCAATGAGAAGCCAGCGCACTGCAACAAAGAGTAGCCCCTGCTCACTGCAACTAGAGAAAGCCTGCAGCAACGAAGACCCAAAGCACCCAAAAATAAATAAATTTATAAAAAAACCAAACAACCCTCTGAATAGTAACACTCTGTGAAAGGGAAGAAAGATGAGAGTACGAAACCATGAAGCCAAGAAAAAAATCTCTCAGTAAAGAAGCTAGACATTTGTGTTGAATGCTACTGAGAAGTCAGACAATCTGTCTATGGATGAAGTTAAGTTGTGCCAGTTAAGTACAGTGGAGAGTAGACCAAGAAATGAGGGAGTCCAAACATGGGCAATGGAATCTGAGTCAGATGCATAAGGAAGGAAATGAGGAGATAAGAGGTGAAAGATAGTGATGAGGTTTGATGAATCAATAGGCTCAGTGAAACTGAAGTTAGATGTTAGAGTGTAAGTACTAAAATAAGTGAGCTGGAAGTGTTGGGAATAAAGGCAGATGATTGAAATGAAAATTTTGGAAATGGTGTAGTAATTAATGATGAGATCAAGGTCTGTATGACCATAGGAACTATGGAAGAAGGCAACACTGGAGTTGAGGACAAGAGAGCCCAAGCAAGATGTTAAGTATGCAGTCCATGTGGATATTGAAATTACCAAGATGTCAAGAGTAGGGAATGACAGAAGCCAATGAGCCAGGTTTCAATTATTTACCCAACTGAACAAAATCTTTCCCTCTTTGAACTTTCTGTTAAATTTTGTACCTCCTTAGTAACTTTATCTTATTCTTTGCCTTTTGTATACTTTTTTTTTTTTCCTCTTCTAAGACTAGGCAATGAAAACAAATCTGTGGCTATCCCCTATAGCACAGAGCACACATTTTCTAATACAGTGTTGCCGTGAATGAGAGATTATAGTGACCTTAAGAAGCCTCTGTATGACTGAGGGCAGAACCATTTCATTAAGGGCCAGTCCAGTTTGGAAGAGATAGGAGAATAATAATGCCTTACAGAAATCATCTCATGACAAAGATATACAGCAACAGTCAAAATTTATTTTAGAAGAGATTTTCAGTTCTTAAATAGTACAAAAATAAACAGACATTTGTTTCAACACTTGCAGTTTACATAAATTAATTTAATCATACATTTGTCTGAGGCACCAAAACATTCAACACATATTCCAAATTCCCAGATTCAGTCATTCAGATATTAACAAATCAGTTTTTTTAAATCAAGTTAACAGTTCTTTATACAAGCCCTTCTACTATTGACTCTTTCTTAACAATAACATAAAACCTTAAAAGTTCCCCTGAGTTATTTCTCTTTAATGAAATTTTATTTTCTCCCTCTGCCTGAGGCATACTTTTTCAATTATTTACATAAATACTGATGTTGTCTGTAATCAGTGCTTGATTTAAAAATATTAAAACCCACAGTTCTTTGCACGGAATGTCCCCCCAGAAAGTTATGAGTGAATGAATTAATGAAACGTCCACAGGTCCCTCAAAAATGTACAAAATATCAGTCTTATAGCACATCCAGGCTAATGAGACACAACATTCTCTGTGGGCTGGTGTATAGGTAAACCTTAAAGACAGATTCCAACTTTACACCTCAGTATACCAAAGTTGGATTCCTAAATAAATGTATTCACAAATCTTAAGCCAATTATTTATCTTGTATTAATAATTCAGAGGTAATCCCAAAAGATACATTGATTCTGATATAATGCAGAAAAAAAATCAATGCAGCCTTAAACCCAGTTTATAATAACCATCCCAAGAAGACATAAATAATAGTCTTCAATAAATTAAATTAATATACAGTACCAGAAAACGTCAGCTGACAATGAGATGGGGAAAAGAAGCATTGTCTTCCTGGGAACTATTCAGCAATTTAGTTTTGTTTTTAAGTGAGAACCCCCTACAGTTCTAAGCTATTAGCCTCTATAAGGCTACTTTGGTTTTAAATCATTCACAAAGTTCTCTGCCTTTCACTTAAAATGAGTGTATACCTTCTTGTAAAGGCCTTCTGTAGTAGTCCTGAGCTGAGCTTTTCCTGAAAACCTGCATAAGTTCAGGTAAGAAAGTATAGAGTCCAAAGAAAGACAAACTCTGACCTTAAAACCAGGAAAACAAAATAGAAGTAAACTGATCAGAAAATGGCTAAAAGATCATAAAATGATCATTGAGTAGGTAGCTGCTTCTCACACATCATGGAAGACACCTTGGAAATATCGATAGTGTAGAAAGAAATGTGCAGCATTTTGTCATCTTGTAACAGCATTTAAATGTTCAAACATCTTAGCTTTTGTTCTTATTATAAGTTGAAATTCAAGTAAAAAGATGTCACACTCATTTCTCATTGGATTTTACAAAAGAATGAAAACTGTTTTCCCCCTTTAACTTGAAGACATCTTTAAAATCAACATGAAAATCTTCACAAGTATGACCCCTTTCTCCTTAACAGAGATGTTAAGTAACACAAGGAGTTGAACATAAATATTAAATAATTAAGTTAAAAGAAATAGTTCATATAAATAAATAAATATTATCAATCACCTTCTACAGTTCAGTTGAACGTTCTTTTAGTAGTACTGTAGGGTTGATATCGTCTAGTCCAGAGTGGGAAGAGCTTGCATTAATGGTGACTGTTTTGGTGAGCTGTGGATCTTGAACACTGAATGAGGTAAAAGGACAGCCTTTCACATTATTGCAGATGAGAGACTGAATTGAGGCAGTGTTGATGATTTTAAAACCTACTTCTCCACCAAAAGTGCTAGGCTTCCAGTACTCAGGAGAACATATAGGATTACCCATAAGTCCTTTCAAGGAGAATGGTGCTCCAGCTTCTACCATGGTCTCCCCAAAGATGGCGTCTGGTCGAGGCTTTTCTACCAGAAGAGCAGGATACAGCTCCATGGCATCAATGTCACCATAGAGCGCTTCTAACTCCGCAGCCATTTCCTTCTCTCCTGTGAAGGTGACAAGGACAGAGATACAACCAATGTAAAAAATCTTAGCCTTTGCTCAATTTCCTTTCAACTTCTGCTGTTTCCATTTGCCCCTTGATTCTTTGAAGAAGTTTAGAAACTGTTTCTCACCTGTAAGTTCTTCAAATGATTTATAAGGCTTCAGCAGAAAGCGTTTGCGGTACTCATTAAAAGACTGGTATTTCATCTCTCTGCTGTGGTCAATTGAAGCCTTTGATACTTTCTCTACTGCAACTGGAAGATTCCTACCACCAGCAACCTGTTGAAAATGAATTACATTGTAGAACACAATTGAGTTTTAGGCATATTTAAGATTTTTTTTTTTCTTTTTTTGGCCGTGCTGCACAGCTTGTAGGATTTTAGTTCCCTGACCAGAGATTGAACCTGGGCCCTCGGCAGTGAGAGTGTGAAGTCCTAACCACTGGACCACCAAGGAATTCCCAGATTTCTATTTTAAAAGCATCCCTTGGGTACCAAGTACATAAGACTGATGCCCCAGCTCCCAGCTGAGGCCTAAACTGTAAGTTTGGAATATTTATAGAATATTTCTATGATCTAGATTATAATGGTAACATTATATTATAATCGAGATTATATGTTAGGCTTCTTATTTCAAGGAAAGAATATTACTAGCAAATAATTACTCTTTTAGTAAGTTTAAGAAAAATCATTTCTGCAGCAGAAATTCTAGTTACTGACTAGTCCTTTGTTTTGTTTTGTTTTTCAATAATAATGCTTACCCTGCCAGCAATTTGCCTGGTGAATGATTCAACAAACTGAGTGAGGCCGTGTTCCAATAAGAGGGAGTTGTTATAGACAAATTGCTGATACTTGTAGTCCTGGCCATCAATCTGAAAGGTGTCAGGCAGAAGGGGATGCCAGTGGTAGAGTGTGTTAAACTCAGCAGCAATACGGTTTTGGTACTGGAATTGTTGGTTAAAAAGCAGCTCTGGGTCAAACTTCAGTTTGAAGTGATAGCCACTCAGGTGCTGTACATAGTCTTCAATCACAATCTTAATAGTTTCTCCTATTGGCACAAAAGAAAAATTTAGAACATGAATTTCTTCTCACAAACGTTCAAGCAACCAAAATGCAATTGTTAATTTGCCAATCCTTCACTTTTATGTTTTCTGTTTTACCATCAATAGCTCAAGAATTGAATGAATATGGAGCAGGTGATTTTACATGTACTACATTCCCCCAGAATTACTGAAAACCTAGCAAAGTTAGTTTTCTCTGGGGAAGAGGGTTTTATTTAAATGGTTTGCTCTTCTTGCTTACCTATCAGTATTAGCCTACTCGTCTGGAACAACTGTTCATCGTCCCATTCTGGATGCTCATGTTTAAGCACATCACACACTCTGTTGTGTTCCCGCAGCCAAATTGTGGCATACATCATCAGACCAGGCACCAGACCAAAGACTTCCTGCCCCACAGCAAACCGCAGGTGTTCAGGAACATGAGGGGGGTAGATCATCTTGACCTGAGTATCTTTGACTGTGGGAGGATACATTTCACCACCAATTATCTAAAAAATAACAGTAACAAAAGAGGTAAGAAACAAATTTTAATCATTAGAGATTTTGAACATAGGTGGGTAGTGAGTCATAACTAATTCTTAATATTTAAATGGAACAAACCTGATATTTCATTTTTCCATCCTTGAAAAGGCGCAGTTTATGCTGTCTCTCCAAAGATTCACCATAAACATGATTTAAGTCCACCTAGAAGATTATGGAAATTTTTAAATTTGTTGCTGTTGTTTATTCTTATGTAAAGTGTCCACGATGTATTTATCACTAAATAACTTGATGATTTAGTTTGCTTTAATTAAAATTTTTCAATAACACATTTTTCACAGCCACAAAATAATAAATTAACTTGTTTATCCACTGAAGCTACTAAAACCTACAAACCTAAATATGTCTCCTAAATATATCACCTATTAGTGTCTCATATGGAGCTTATATCATAAGTTTCACTATAACTATATGGTATTTCTTTGAAAAAGCAGCAGAAAATGTTTGATATAAAATTCTTATCAATAACTTGAAGCTATGTCACTGAAATCCAAGAGATAATAATGCTACAAAAATCTCACCTTATAATATTTAAGGCAGCATAATCAGGGTACAAATGTTTTTGAAGACAACCTTTTGCAGTGCCAATATTTTAAACTAAAAATATAAGAGCCAAACTACAAATAATAATCTGTATATATGTATGTAAGTATGTGTGTCTGTGTGTTTGTTTTTGTATTTTTACCAAACCAGTGAATTAAAATGGAAACTCCATTTAAGGTTTTTATAGATAGAACTATGATTTGCTACTAATTTTGATTTAACTCTGTCTTACCCCATGGCTCTGTCCCGTGGTGAAAGCTGGTCCTCGCTTATGATCTGTCTTGAAAAATTGATGGGTGAAGTGCTGGGCAAAGAATGCAAACATCATATTTGTGCCCTGGGGATCAGGGATGAACTTTCTTCTTAGAAGTACTTTTTCCACAACTTCTTTTGAATCAGGAAGCTCTTTCCTCCCTGAAAAAATGAGAAAGCCTAAGATAAGAATCCATCTATATATTCAAGGAGTGACTGTCAATTAACCAGGGTCTTTTTCACTTATAGGAGAAGTACAACTTTGAACAGGATCATAATATAAATGGAAGTTCTAAAATACAGGGGAACAACTTCTTATTGAATATTTTAATCTATTTTGTTTAGTATTAATTCAGTTTTAACGACAGAATTTGAAAGCATCATGACATTATACCAAAATGCCCATTCACTTTCATGGAGTAGTTTACATGGACTCACACTTTCAAAAAATCTCCAGAGATATCCATAAGGAAAAAAATGGCTTTATTAACAAATAAATCATAGTTTATGGTCAAATTTTCTAGGTAGCAATCCAATCCCAGTTACAGTTAATACACCTCTAACTGCTTCCTCTCACTCACCTTTGACACCCATGGGTGTTGGGCAGTCATCAGGCACAGGAGGAAGAACTCTGGTGTAATAGGACAGGTTAGAAAAGGCTTCCCAGCTTTTATAGCCGTAGTGCACATTATAAGTTGGCGGGCTCTCAATCAGATGTGATCTCGCTGAAATGTGAGGGGGGAAAAAAAACGTTATTTGCTCCCATATGCAAGGCAAATCAGTGTTCATTTTTATTGTAAAATATGCAAAGTGGCACTAGAGTGAATTTAATTCCGACAAAGATACTCTATTTTAAAACAGTTATACTTTAAAGCCAATGGCCACTGGTACTCAAAAAAGAGGAAAGAATGATTCATTAACATGCATCTTTGATAACGTATATACACTTTACAGAAGACAGTATGGTCCAGCCATCTTGATTTTTCAAATAACCATCCACTTACTGCTGAAGAGGCCTATGAGGAATGTCTGGGCTTGACACTCACTTTAGAAATAAAGGTATTTTCTTGCTGACCCCAATCCAAATTATCCATTTATTTTAATGGGTGCAATTCTGTGGCCCATGGGCATTCAATAAACAACTAGACCACACTTCCTTCACAAATTGTCAAGAACAGTGAAGGTTAGAAGAGGTATGCAGGTATGCAGGATTTTAAGTAGAATTCTGACTGTGAGACAGAACTTTATAAACTTGAAGGGATTCAGATGTCAATATTTTTGGCCATTAAGACAGAAGGTAAACTAAAATGGTATATTTAAATGTTTTGGATTAAGTTTAAAAATCTAAAGTTTTATAAAGTACATTTTTCTTTGAGGCCGCTGAAAGCCCTAGAAAGTGATTTATACTTACATATCAACACATATCTCATAATCATATTCTGCAGGAAGGGAATGTTATTGACAATGTTCCAGACTCCCTTGAAGTGCGTAAGTATGTAGTGCACTGTGTTTGGAGTGGGTTTCAGGAATAATTTTATTCTTGTCAGAAATTCAGCTGCAATGAGAAAAAAAAAGAGAGAAATTAACAGGACCTCATTATAAGACACAATTCTGTAAAATGATAACTGTATATATCCCCATTCCAAATGAGGGCACCCAAAAACAAACTTACGTGTGGTACAGTTTTCACCATAGAATCCTGTTCGGGTACAGTCACATTTATACTGGTCAAATCCTATGCTCATACATACACCTCGATTCTGGCATGGACTGGAACAGCAAGGATTTGCTACAATAAAGTAAAGACAATGAGATTGATATATATGTCATATATATGACATATGTATAAAATAGATAACTAATAAGAACCTGCTGTATTGCACGGGGAACTCCACTTCACTGTACAGTAAAAATTAACACAACATTGTAAAACAACTATACCTGAATTTTCAAAAAAGAAAGTAAAGACAGTGAATAAATCATTCTTCAGTGTCTTAATCTTGACTTAAACATTTAATTGTTTTACTTACTATGATTCAACTTTATGATAAAAAAAATTCAAGAAATATACAGGTAGTCATGGGAAAACAATTTTTTTGGCTTGCCTCACAGAATGGTTATAATGTAGAAATACCAACTTCCTATCCTAAATAAAGGTAACAGAATATTCCACCAGACATATTGGTGGAATGTTGCTAAGCTTTTCTTTGTAACATTTTAGATGTTCAAATTAGCCTTTTTAAGAGGCTCAAAGAAGTAGGACTTCCAAAATTAAAGTGAATTGATCTAGTACATTAATCAAAATTTAAGTGGTTTTTTTTTTGTTGTTTTCTTTTTGTTTTTGTCAAAACTCAAAGCTGTTGAAAGATCTGGACGAAGAACATTCCAAGTTGAGAGGAAAACTAGTGCAAAGGCCCTGAGGCGTGTTTGAGAGAGTGTGGCAGAAGCAAAGCTAGGAAGAGAGGTGGAAGGTGAGTTCCGAAAAGGCAAAGGCAGATCATGTGGGTCTTATGGGAATTTGGGTTTTATTCCATGTGTCAAGGGAAATCATTGAATGGCTTACAGTATTAAAGTGGCATGACTTAATTTACATTAAACAAAAACAAAACAGGGAATTCCCTGGCCCTCCAATGGTTAAGACTCTGCTCTCACTGCTGAGGGCCTGGGTTCCATCCCTGGTCAAGAAACTAAGATCCGGAAAGCTGCGCAGTACGGCCAAAAAAAGTGGAGAAAATTTCAAAGTAAAAACAGCTTCATTTTTAAACATTTTGCTTACCTGAAAAAATAATCTGGACTTCCCTGGGGCAGGAAAGCACTAACTAGGGTATTTAACACAATTATTTCCATTCAATAACATTAGGTACTATTAAAAAAGAAAAACATCTAGCATATATTGATCAGATTCTGTCTTATGACAACCTGCAAATTAGTATCACTATTCCTATTTAGCAGATGAGAAAAGTGAGGCTCGGACGGGTTAAGTAAGTGACCTATGATGATCAGAGCTGATGGCAAAGCTGAGCTGTCCGTCCAGTTCATTTGGACTCGAGTGGTCCAGCTTCTTTACAAAGCCATACAGCCTCTGTCTTCTGAGGGTATTCAGAATACCTAAAGTTCCCTGGAAAGGTCAGTGCAGAAACTCGACCCGGGTGTACGGAGCCGCGGAGTCCCAGGTGCCAGGCGCCCAGGTACTCACTCACCTGCACCACAGAGCGCCAGGGCGGCGCAGAGCAGCAGCGCGCGGGCTAGCATCTCGGCTGCGGGAGGGGCGCGGGACCGGCGGAGGCGTTGCGTTGTGTGAGTCCCGCCTGTCCAGCTGGAGGAAGGCGCGGGGCGGAGTTCCTGAGCGTCCTCTGACGGTCGCTGCGAGTCGTTTGACAACTGGAAGCTAACGGAGAGGACCTTCCTTTTATGCGTGAAAACAGCCCACGTGACGGCATGACTGTCTTTCCGCCTTTCCTTCCCCCGCTCCAAAACTTTTCCTCCCTCTCTCCACTTAAATAATTGCGTAAGACCCGCCCGGGTCGGGGTAGAATTTTTTTTACCCACGGAAACTGGAAAATCGGAAACCTGGGAGGTTGCGCTCGGCTTCCCCAAGGTGGGTGCAAAGCGGATCGCCCCCTCCCCACTTCGATCTTCCTGAGCCTCTCCCTGGGTTTCTCCGCCCTCGGCGCCGGGCTTCGCGCCAGATTCCTTTCCTTCTATCGGGTCTTTGACCCAGGCTTCCAAGACCCGGTGCCGAGGCAGATCTTCTTGCGGGGGAAGGGCGGCACCCTGGGCTTCCTTTCCCGGAATCAGAGGAGCCTGGAGGTTCCGGAGCGCAGGGAATCCCCTTGCGCGCCCCCGCCCCCTGGTCTGGTCCCTAGGCTTTGGGGGGCCGAAGAAGACACAGTCTGGACAGACTGCGGAGAGTGGGTCCAAGAAAGGCTGACATGTTTTACTCATGTCGTGTATTTCAGACGTGTCATGATTTCAGTGACCACTCAGCCTCGTGTAGGTTCAGCACACACATACATACATTTAAATTTTTTTTAGATTTTTACTTGACCTAATGAAATGTGATAGCTATAGTCAGCGTACATATCTGTAGCTTCCCTTTATAGCTGAGTTGTTTTTAACATAAATGCTGTTCTCCACGCCACCACCCCGACGTTGCTTCTTGGAGAGGGGAAATAAAGGTAAATTCCTCTCCTCAATACCGATCCTGAGTGCTTATCCTGTAAATAGTCAATCTGGGATCGAAGGGTCACCGCTATAAACTTTCCTCTCCGATGAACCAGGGAAGCGGAGGTGACCAGGATCTGCAGGGATGCTAAACGTCCAAAACTTCTGCTTTAATGCATTTCTTTCTCTAAAGCGTGGTTTCCAGTGTTTGGGTAGCCAGCCCTTCACAGGAGATACAAATAGAAGGAAGTAGATTTTTAAAGTTTGCTTTTTCGTCTTTTCTGCCTACTTTTCCAGGATAATGAGTTGAGACAAAGGATTAAAATACATTACGTTTACTTTTCAATTGTCTGGGCTTATTAGGGCCAATTTTCTATTCTCATTTTGGAAGGTAGTTTGATGAAGAATTTGGATGGAATGGATGTAAAAGAAGGGTGATTTTGACAATTTTGAATTTCATCATCCTTTGCTTTTGTTTAACATCTATCTTTTGGTAGTGGTTGGGAGGGTGTGTGAGGGTAAAATGCTAAGAAAAGAAAAAGAAAAGTAGCAGCGTTGTAGAGCCTTTAAAAAAAGACACTGGATTTTTTAAAAAAGTATTTTGCTTAATGTACACGTCATCTGATTCTACATGAGACACAAATGACTAAAATTCCATCTCACGCAGGAAGCTTTTCTCCTCTAGACATATTTAATCATTCCATTTGTGACACTCCCATTTATTGTACTGAGTCTTACATGAAATTTCAACTAAGAGCATAGATTTAAAAAAATAATTTCTTTTAATAATTTCAGTTTTCTGTTTCATTTTAAGTGAGTAGGATGTATCTACTCAAATTTTAAGTTGATATTTAAGACTACTAATTTGAGCTTTGTTAGATGCGAAGGAAGAATTCATACTCTGAATTCTTTTGGTTTTTTTTGTTTGTTTGTTTTTGTTTTAGTTTTTTTGTGGTACGCGGGCCTCTCACCGTTGTGGCCTCTCCCGTTGCGGAGCACAGGCTCCGGACGCGCAGGCTCAGCGGCCATGGCTCACGGGCCCAGCCACTCCGCGGCATGTGGGATCTTCCCGGACCGGGGCACAAACCCGTGTCCCCTGCATCGGTAGGCAGACTCTCAACCACTGCGCCACCAGGGAAGCCCTGAATTCTTAAGTATACTAAAATTTTATATTGTAATCCCGAATTCATTTTGAAGTCATCATCATCATTGTCCTCATCAGAGCTTAATTGTATACCTACTATGTATATAAGTATATATACCTACTGTGTATATAAGTGTGTTCTGTTGTTTGCAGAGAGGATGAATTCAAAGGTGAGAACAAAACAGCGTAGAGAATAATCACATTTAGACTACTTGGAACTTAAAGAAATTGAACTCCATTTCATAGTGGAAATTCAATTTAAAAACATCTATTTGGTTAAAGTACTTGGTTTAATCTGTAACTTCTATAGCACAGTAGAGAGAGTTACATGTACCTATGCAGTCAGAAAATAGTTCAAGGAGAAAATGACATTTTAAGGATGGGTGCAGTTTAGAAAGGACGTCCAATTATGGGCTTCAGGAAAAACGATAGTGATTTATTAATTTTGACAAGTCTGAGACAATAAAATAAAATGGAAAGTATATTTGGGAATGCTGGTCATGGGGGAATATTAAATGTCCCAAACCAAATCAAAATGGCTAAACCTGTCTTATGTAGAAAAGTACTATAATTATTATGCTGTATGTCACACCATAAAAAATAAGGTTATGATTATGTAAAAATTTTAAATCTCATTTGGGTATATATTTAGTGTTTCTGTGTACATTTTAGACAAATATATGTATCTGTAATATAAAATTTCTTTTATTAGTCTCTGAAATTTGTTGGGAAATTCTCTGTATAAAGCAAAAATAAGAAAGCATATTAAAAATCTTCCAGAGCATTCTGTTGAGTTTTACTGCCCCCTTCTGCTGCTTCATTTTTTATCAACTTCTTTTTCTCTCTGATTGCTGTGAAGATAACTAAGTAGATTTTGTGAGTGATGTTATAATGTTCTTAAAAGTCCACATATGCAGTGTTCATTTGAAATTTAACTTTCATGAATATACTAAAAAGGAATGAAATATGTGTTAATTGAAGTGATGAGCCATTCATATGAGCTAAAAGAAAATGAACAATAAAGGCTATTAATACCCCAAATTCTAAATGAGCTAACATTTTCAAGGGAGATATATCTTACTGCTTTGAGCAGGATTCTACCATTCAGACGTGGAAGGATGCTCATATCCACTGTCTTAGTCATGGAGCTTCTTTCTATTTCCCTCCCTTCTCCTTTGGCTGATTTAGTGATTCACTCAGAGAGAGTGGCGATTGCCCCTTGTCTTTTTTTTTTTTTGGCTGTGTTGGGTCTTCATTGCTGCACGCGGGCTTTTCTGTAGTTGCAGCGAATGGGAGCTACTCTTCATTGTGGTATGTGGGCTTCTCATTGCAGTGGCTTCTCTTGTTGTGGAGCACGGGCTCTAGGTGCATGGGCTTCAGTAGCTGTGGCACGCAGGCTCAGTAGTTGTGGCTCGCAGACTCAGTAGTTGTGGCTCACAGCCTCTAGAGCGCAGACTTAGTAGTTGTGGTGCACGGGCTTAGTTGCTCTGCAGCATGTGGGATCTTTCCGGACCAGGGCTCAAAACCATGTCCCCTGCATTGGCAGGCAGGTTCTTAACCACTGCGCCACCAGGGAAGTCCCACTTGTCTTTTTTATTCATGACAGGCTGGCTAGAAAAAGAGCTTTGCTATCTTGCATCTTGCCTTAAGAGACATTTTAGCAAGGTTATGCCACAGAGTATGTCTGTTTCCTGAAGGGCAGAAAACATACCCATAAAAGACTCTTACTTTAGTCTTTTAGTAAATCCCCGCTATATACCCATTCCTGGCTACACTTTCAAAGCTAAAAACAAGAGCATGTGGACAAAAAACGTCACCTCTCATTTCAGTAAACAAAGGATGTAAAACCCTCAGCCACTGACCCACTCCCCTCCCCCATGGTGCAGGACAGTGCACCCTGAGGGGAATTCAGGATGGAGATAAACAGGCTTCCACTGCACTGACTGTGTACCCTGAGGGGATTCAGGGTGCAGAAAAATAGGATAGTGGCCCTATCAAAGGAATAATTTCAATAAACCAGACTCTTGCATCTTCCCATGTGTGGAAAGCACTAAATTCATTAACTTGAGATGTCTGGTTTTCTTCAATTAGCAGGAATCTTTTGCCCTTCCACTACCTGGGTTTTGGGGCTTTTTTGTTTTGTTTTGGGTTTTTTTGTTTATTTGTTTTTTGCAAAAACTCCTGTATATCCTGGCTCCTCTCTTACCTTTGTGTTCTGGGCTTAAGTCCACCGAATAATACATAATTCTCAGCTTGTAGGTTGTGCTTTTGTTTTTTCAGTTGACAAGGATAAACATTTTTTTAATTAAAAATAATCCTTGTTAAAATAAACCAATGAAGAAATACCAAATAATATCTACTTCTGAGTTTTATATAAAAAAATTATCTTCTTTTTCTCTACTCAGTTCCCTGATAGATTTTTCTTTTTCTTCACTTTTCATGGTTGTGTATCATAACTACTAAGGTGAGCCAAGCTAGATTGAACATGGTCTTTGTGTCGGAGCTAGGAATCCCAAAAGGGGATAAGGAAGTGCAAGAGAGTGTGAGCAGGGTGTGCTAGGGCCAGTGTGATGAGAGCACACTCACCAATTAAATATCAGGTTTAGCATGTCCAGTTTCTGACCCAGCTTGTAAGGAGCTTGGAAGTTGCCTCTCTATCCTAACAAAAATCTGAACAAACTGAAAACTCCATGCTCTTCTTAGATCCCTCAAAGAAGTGAGGTGACAGGATAAAAAACTGCCCTCAGAATTGGAGAGACTGGCCATGCAGAGAAGCACAATTTACCAGAATAGAAACCCACAGGCAGAAACCTCCATAGATACCAGTGCCTATGTAGGAAAAGGCGAAGTGTAATTGAGGAATTGCTGGATGCTCAACTTGCATAAATCTGAGAGTTAAAAATTCCAGGGGGTCCATTCATTTTTGTGAGTTTTACTTCCTGGA